AGTACTTCTCCGAATTGTTTTTTTTTTCTCCGAAATGTAGCACTTTCTAATTGAATAATACAAAATTATGATTAACCACGTCAAAAAAACTCCGGGTACCAAATTGCGTGCAAATAACTTATTTTTTGCAAGAGTTATTTTCAAAAAGCGAACAAAAAAATACAAATTCAACACCCCGTATTTCCGAAACGAAGCATTTTCGGACACAAGTTCCTTTAGACTTTTTTTCTTAAAATTGCCTCAAGAATACGTCACTTGAATACTTTAACGTACTTATGTTTCACCCTGTGTAAAGATGTATTGAATGAAAATTAAAAAAATAAAGTTGACTCTTTTGCAGTTTCATAGGGAGTTCATAAAGAAAAAATTGGATTGACATAAATCATTCGAAGGTACCTTGTAGGGGACTCATTATCACTATCGTCAATATTCCTGCAACACCAGGTAAACCCGCCTCTTGATATAAATATGTCATAACAATGATTGCAGATATCGGTCCAGTCCATAATTGATGGCACATGACAGAAGCAAAGTCAAATCGGGCAACATCATTAGATAATAAATTCACTACTTTACCAGCAGGTGTCTCTCCAAGGGCTGTTCTACTGAGTTTCACAGCCTGAAAATAATAATAGCAGACATTAAGAATGTGTTTATGAGAACAATCTACAAACAGCAGTATTCTTAGGTCGATTCTCTCACCTCCCTAACTTTATAATTCAAAGTGTGATAATCATCATAGTTGATGGTGCAATAAAACCTTATCCTGTGGCAAAAAACATGATTCCAAAATTATCGTCATATTTCCTGTCCGTCTACCACTTGTGAAGACCTCAAAATTGATCATCTTAATAAAAATATTTCTTGATCTCCACGAACTTTATTTGAAAAATATATCACAACATGTTTCGCTAGCACTGTAGCTTTCTCAAATAATTTGGATACTTCAAGTTGTTTCTTACACTAATATTTATATAATACAGGTAACCATAATTGAGACTACCTCCAAAAATTATCTAAACCTCTACCTAAGGTA